CCAACGAATAGTGGGATTGACCATCACATTATAATGCCCCCATGCCTGAAAGGGCGAGCATGTTTGGTGTGATGGGGATTCGAACCCGCAACCTGCAGATTGTGAGTCGAGCACCCTAACCACCTAGCCATGCTGGGCCCCCTGGCATAAAGAATGTAGTTCATACTTCAACTTTTTATATTATTCAAGTTTTAATTTCTTAATTTAAAAAAAAACACACTTTTTTAATCTTCACTCTCAATTTTCCTTCTTTTAGTTTATATAACTGCAATAGTATAATTTCTATAGTATCTAACTAATGTTATAAGCTATAAATAATAACAACGTCAATGTACAGTTTTAACACCCTAACTTCGCCATCTGCTGAAATATAAATAAATTTTTCCAACACTGACAGAAGTACCACAAATATAAATCCTCAATCTTTCAAAGCAATTTTCAAAACCAGGTTTTCTTAATTAATACACATTTGCAACCAACAGAATGAGACAATTTTTCTATTTCAAGCTTGCAACTGTCCTTTTGAATTTGGTAGCAATAGACGTTAATTGAGAGGAAGTGAGCAGCGTGTGGGTAAGTGAAATTGTTGCTCGTAGCATAAATGTTTTACCTTATTTATAATTAGAAAGCCAATTAAATGACAGTAGTTCTGGAACATTCTATTCTAGTGACCAAGATATTTTTTGTGTACTAAAATGAATACTTGAAAAGCACATGAATTTTTTTGTTTGGACAATGAAATTAGGCCTAATTTCACACTGTACAGTATCTTGATGTATGAAAATCTGTTGATGTGTTCCTACTGTGATGTGTTGCTTTTCATGGGTGAATAAAGTAATTATGTGGTACACGCAAGAAAATAAAATCTTAAATTTAAGGAAATATATGTTAAAAGGTTAAAGTTGAAACTGTGAATATCATTAATTGAATATGTGGCAACAAATGATGCATTCAAAGAAGGAAAAAAGGTATCATCAATTTTATTTCACAATTTTTAAATAATAGATAATGTTTTACCTTAAACAATGTTTGATATTTGTTAAGGAGGTTCTAGAGATTATACAAATTAAATAATAAAATTGTAAAATGGAAAGAAGTAATTTTTTTCTAAGCATGAAAATTACCTTGTACTCAGACTGACTAAGTAAAGGTTTTGGAAATTCACAGACAAATCTTTAGTATAAGTACCTTATTAAAAATTCTTATTTTCTGTGTACAACAGACTTGTCATGTTTACTAAAAGTTTGCCAAATTTCATGAAGTAAATTCTAAGTCTTAGTATGTATAGTTTTACAAGGTCAGTCAAACTGACCACCCACTGACAAAGGGCTAAAAGTGCGAGAAACAAACAAAAACATCTACGTGTATATCATATTATCAAACTCTACTATAAATTATAAATCAAGATTTATTACCTCAAGTTCCTCTCTTTCTTTCCTTAACTTTCCTAGTGAGAAGTTCTTAAGTAATTCCTTCAATAAGACTTTTTGGTTTATATCCCCTTCCACACTAATGGATGGTTTATGAAAAATGTCAATTTGGGGTTTACCAGCTGCAAAAACAAAACAAAAAAATGAGGGCTAAACAATGCTTAATAACAAGTTATTACAAAGTTGCCTTCAAAAATCAATATTAATATCGAAAAGAATAGACATATTCTGATAAAACTGTCATTTTGAAATTTAAACTAAATCACAGAAAAACATTCAGGACATGTCTAATTAACCAATTTACAGGAAGATTGTTTCCAAAGTATCAAAAGGAATGAAAGTAGAGATAGCAAAGATGTGAGTCATGTTTAATAACATCTGTTATACTGAAGAAGAAAAAGAATGTGAGCAATACTAAAAAAAAGTTTTAAAGAAACCCACGAAGGGATTTATGAGAAAAATGATTAGACTAAACTAGAAATGGAGAATTATTTTAGATATTAGAAATTGTTTCTAGCTTATTCTTAATAAATAAGTATGTTTGTTATTACATAAATCAGTTTCTTATAAAACAAAACACAATGACAAGTTTCCCATAAAACTGAGTGAAAGAGTTTTCAATTTTGGGATTGTAAAGAAATAAAGTAAGAAATAACTAAGTGCTTGTAAATAAAGTTTTTTGTATTTATGGCAAAGCTACTATAAAGGCTATCTGTTGCCATCTCTAATTCTGAACTACCGTCACTCTTATAATGCACCTGCAGCTTAAAGCGCGGGGAATATTATGTGGTACTGAACGGATTAAAATCCAACTGCGAAAGAACTGTAATAAAAACTATGAGATAAACATTAATAAACATGACAAAAAACAGAACAAAAATAAAGACAGTACCTCCAGTACCTGGTTCTATGCGAGGGTATAACAGTCAGCTCTGATATGGATAATTAAATGTATTTTGACACTTTTAATGAGATGAAGAAGAATATCTATCAATAGTTAGCACTTCAATATCAAAACTTAAGTTTTCTGATATTTAAAAAAACATTTTAAAAGATAATACATTTTTCACCGACAAAGATTGAGAACAAGCTCTAATAGTTTGTAGGCTGTTTAAATCACCAATTCTCTGTCAAGATTTTTAGGGAATTACTCAATTTTAATGTATAATCAAAGCCTTGGATCAAACTTTTCATATTATGTTCCTTCTATTATTATAGTCCTAGATTTATATTACCTAACAGAGCCCTTGAATTTCATATCTACTACTTATTTCCTCTGTACATCATTTTATTATATTTATTTTACACTTATTTTAGATCTTATTCCTGATGCTTATTTTCCAGATTTTAATTCAATAAGACATGAACTTATTTTTTTTATATCAATGCTTTAAGAGTCCCATGTTATTAATTAGCCTTATTGATTAGCATTGGTCAAATAATGTATAAATTGCCATTTTTAAATGACAACAATAATAATGCATCGGAAACTATAAAAATGTTATTACAAATGTTATAAATATAAGAACAGAGCTGTATCTCGACTGTTTCTTTCTTCATTCATTTGTTACTTTTTCTATCTGTTGTTGATGGAGTTGAGCATTATTATAAACTTCTGAATTTGTTGCCTGGTTGTTGAATTCAGTCTTAATGCTTACGTACTTCTTAGTTTAAAAATTTCAAACTTTTTTGGCATGGAAGGAACATTTTGTTTCATCAATTCAGTATGCAATTTTGGTTCTTTCTGATAATTCAGATATAAATACAGATAATTCACTGTGAAACTCATCTGGTCATTAGGTAGACCAACTGAAGGGTCCAGTAAATAATTACCCAAAGACTCTTTCTGGGTGTCACTCTTACAAAAAAGTAAGTTGCCTTGCTCATGACAAGCTTTCTGATCAGCAGTAGTCTCTGAAAGACTAAACCTGGTTTTCACATCATCTAAAGGTTTCTCTCGACCTAGCACTATCTCTCTTGACTCCACACCCTGTAATTATTGAGGAATGAAACAGAAATGAACAAACAAGAAAAAACAACAACAACATGGAAATAAATGTACAATGTTCACATAACACTTTTCTCACAATGCACAACATGTAGTATGCCAAAAATTGTTGAGATCAATATTAAACACAAACAAGTTTTAGATAAATTTAAATATACAGCATTCAAAAACGTATAATGCAACAGAACAATGATAATCTCGAGTGGGTTAATAAGTTCAAATGAACAAAAGAAGAGTTTCAATCTGAAATACAGAAAAATCAGATCTGCTATAGAAGTTATTGTATTTCAATAACATTTAGGATATGTTTTACCATCCTACATTAATTAATGTTGTGTGTTTGTTTGTCTGTAAACTCCTTCCACAGTTTTGGAGCTAGTAGGACCAAACTTGACAGGGGACTTGGGGTAGCCAAATGTGACATTGCTTCCATACTAAATTGGAATAAAATGCACCCAGAGGGAATCTAGCAGTATGTTTTCAATGTCACTGAACTAGAATCTAGCAACAGACTGTTCCCAGCTCCCCCTTGTGTTTATATCCCTATTCACAAGTTAATTGTACCAAACTTGCCACATGTGTATATTTTTTGGTAGATATAAAAGTGAGAATGGAAAAACTTGATCAGTATACTGGGGCATCTGTGAATTATAAAGGATCTTACTGTTCTGACTGTAACATTAAAACCTACACTATTCTGAGTTACATCACTTTTGAAGCTTTTGGGTTTTGTACCTCAACTACTTCTTTTATCAATGGTACTACTTTCATGTACCCTTTTCATAGTTTCCATAAATCACCTACTGAAACAAAATTTCACCTAAATCTATCTCATGGAGCAAACTTCACTAGCCAAAACCTTTATTTTCACACATTTGTCACATGGTATTTCTGTCTGGCAAGCCATCAGTGCATTACCACACTACTGCTGGGAATAGTACGAAATATACTTTTACAAGCATTATGCTGATATGGCATTGTGATTGGTTGGATGACATCCAATCACAGAGTAAACTGTCAACAACAGACTGTACCCTGGTGTAGATTATTGTTATATGTCAGGGGGAAGAGTTATATAATATTTTATCATTTTCAAAATTATTTCTAATACCACACACACATGTATGTATGGTAGCTTTCTCAATATGATGAGCATATGTAATTCAGAAATCTGTAAAACTAATATCTGCTATAACTATATATAAACATCTTTGTTATATTGGAACTTTTGAATACTATACCATAGAGTTCAGAAAGTTTTAATTAAGCAAAACAACTAAAAGGCTAGCATATACATACATACATATACACACACACAGAGTTTGATATTTTTTCAATCTAAAGAGTAAATGTTATTCATATATAAACGTTTTTAGTAGAAAAACAAATACAGATACTCCATTACTAACTAAAATATGCCTTGCAGGATGAACCTTAACTAGTTTACGTATACTTTAGTCTCAACTATGCTACTTTTAAGTATTCGTCTCATACAAAGTGCAGGTAATATTTCAAAATTTTAGCTTATCAATTTTTTTCTTCTTCTATTGAACAGAGGGTACAGTGACATTGCGATGTTTAAAACAAGCTATTTGGGCAGTTAATACATGAAAATATTCATCTAAAACTTGCTAAATGTTAAATTAATCTATTTGTTCAATTAACCTTGTTTGAAATATCTGTGTATCACAGACACATTAATTTATTATGTGTAACTTCAAAATGACTATCCCAAGTTTAAATAACCAATAGGTTTAAAGGAAAAATGCTCATTGCAGATAATGTAAAACATCAAGGAAGAAGGATAACAAGTACCTCAGTGTTAGTCCTTATTAAGTTAGTGAGACCAAATTCTTCTTGTGGACGACTAACACTGGGCATTCCCGTTTGGCTTAAGGTGAAATTAACTGTGTTTGTTACTGACATGGGGAGCGAACAAACCAGAGAAGGAGGAATGCTGCAACACACATAGGGTTTCTGGAGAACAGAATTAGTAAACAAAGTCACAAAGAATTTTTTATATTACACAATAAAACATATTACAAAACCAACATGTTGCTCTACGAACAAAAATGTATATTACGAGATCAACTGTAATAAATACTAACTCTCAATAATGATGATGATTATACTACACAGAAATAAGCCACTGTGTTTTAAGAATACAAAACTTATGTTATGAATTGCATTCAATTTATCTACAACAAAAATACTTCTGTTAAAATTGTTTGAAAATCTTGAAAATATACTAAAAAATCTAGAAACTAGCATCCATCCTGACCAATAAGCAAAATATCAAATCCTAATAAGGTGATTCAAAGAAGAAAATAAAGCTTGAAGTCTTCTCACCTCTTGGTTATCAGTTGTAGTAGAAGGTACTGCAGACTTTTGAGATTCACTATCTGTTTCTAATAAATAAAGTATACACATCAGGTTCAGCTTAAGAATTATTATCTTTGTACAAGAGCAACCAAGTTTTCACAAAATGTAATCTCACCTATCAGCAGGTATCTTAAAAGAAAATGAAATTATAATATTAACAATCCTTATTACTTTTCTCCAATTTTCATCCCTGCCTCAGGTAATCCCTTTAAAATCTGCAAAATGCAGTCATGAAAACCTGTCCTACTTATTCTCTATGGAATGAGGTTCACTTTATTCAATAAATCCCATAAAAATGGTTGTGCAAAATGAATTTTAAAACTAAAGGCTAATCATACTGACAAATACAGCAAGTGAAAAAAATGATAAAATCTAGAAATCACCTGTCACCAAATTTTAAAAATAGTATACAAATACTGTCATAACAATTTCTGGTCATATTTCAGAACTATTAAAAATACTTGTAAAATTTAAAATACTTGCTTGAAATTTAATTTTATAAAATAATTTTTCCCATACATCTCAAAAAGCAAATGTACTGAAATATAAAAATCCAGAAATATTACAAATTTTATCATTATTAAATACTGAATGTTTTATATTTAGCACTTTTAGTGCTACTTTGAAATACAGCGCAAAAAATAATAAATAAAGGCTGTTAGAGTAAAGATTTGGCTACGATTGTCACATAAATAAGCCCTTTTGACATCCCAATTCTGTTGTGAAGAAGAAAACTCACTTTCTCCTCTAAAGTCCTGGATAAAAATCTAACACTTTAAGTTTGTAAAGAATGGGGTAGAATATGTAAAAAAAAAAACAACTTAATCACAGAAAAGTGTTGGAAAAACTTTTGGTTTAATTCATTTGTTTAGTATCAAGTAAATGAGTAAGAACAAAAGATAGTTTATGAAAAATCTGGAAACTGACGTAACTGAAAAGTAAATCCTGAAAACTGATTCCCAGTTTGCCTCTGATAAGAAAATGTCCACTTTTTGAAAGCATTTAGTTGGTAGAGTGTCATATTTTTGTGTTAAACTGATTTTTTTGAACCTACACATTTTCCTAACAACCTGAAACTGAATTAGTTTAATTTGTAGATCTTCCAATGAAATCTTGAAATTCAAAACTGCTAAACCATGCTTAATTTGAGGGATAAAAATCTGAAATAACTATTCTGTATTCTGTGATTCGTGGTGGTAAAGTTGATGTAAGTTTAAGAAACTTTTTAAATATGGATCAACAAGTTTAAAGTCTGGAGTTTTGAGAATCATGCATGGATGATATTTAGCTTAGAATTTGCAACATGATTTGTTATAGAGAGTAAAAAATAGTTACACAACCTTATACTGAACAGAATACCAGAATATAAAATCTCATGGCTTAAAGTAGAAAGAGTATATTTATATAACATATACAATAATTTTTCATGAATAACATGTACCCCATAAAAAAATAAATTGTTTTTGGTAGTATTTATCTTTTAAATTTAACTGCTGGCAACAGATAGAATATAGATTTAAGTCACTTTTAAAACCCTTTACGTGCATGTTACTGAGTTACATTTAAAATTAAATCAAACTGCTTTACTCTGAATGCATTTTAATGAAATTATTTTCACTAAGTACATTATAATTCAAAGTTTTACATTGTCTCAGTTTTTATTCCTTTATTTCAAAAGAAACCTTTAAAACAATAATTAAATATTTTGGTTCATTGTCACTTGATGATTTCATGATTCAAAATACCCGAACTTTAGAGCCGATATACAAGAAACAAGTGTGCATAATGTAGACATGTTCTTGCATATGTTCAAAGTACAAGTAATACAGCTTGTTTAAGATTAATTTGAGTCAAATTCCAAGAATTGTAAAAACATTGTAAAAATGCTTTCGGTTCAAGATAAATCACACTCAATTAGAAAGTAGAAGCTGTGTTGCTAAGCGACAGTTTCAACTTGAATGGCATGCTTATAACCAATAGAAAGAGCAGATTTCCCATTGGAATGTTGCTGAATTAACAGTAAATGTAGACGTATATATATTCAGTTAAAAGCGAGGCAAAATAAAGCTTAGTCCATTCTTAAGAGCAGGACCTATAGTGATTGGCTATTTTTTCCCATCTTATACATATTAGTTTGATAGACAGTTATTTTTCATTTAGGTTTTACTTTTATATTTTAGGTAATTATGTATTATTTGTGTTTTAAAATTCTTATTTGAAAGGTTTAATGATTTTTTAAAATGCTTTGCCTCAATCAACAGGCATTCATAAAGTTAGTGAGTTCCACCACCATTTAGTCGGGGTCTAACTCGTCTCTGCCAATGTTAATATTATATCACCCACAGGCACCTGTTGATGTGTGTCGACATAAATAATCAAAGATAAAAAAAAAATGAAAGCAATATAAAACATTAAAGTAAACTATAAGTGAAAGGGTAAAGATGTGAAATTACACATATGATCCAAAGAAGATATTTTAAGATTATCCAATGAAGAGATAAAACATATGTACAGATTTCCATTTCTTAATTTTTAACATTTTATTGCACTTTTCGCTGATAATAATAGCTAGAGTTAGTGATGTTGAAGAGAAAATGGCAACTAAAATATAAAAATTTACCTTACAAATATTTTTGGTATTCACTTAGGAGGTTCTAAAAATTATGAAAATGGAATGTGAAAATTGTAAGATTTAAACCTATTTTTAACATGAAAATCACCTTGCAGGTGAACTATTCAGAGACCAAATACAAATAACTACATTAAATAATGAATTTTTGGTAAAATAGTAGAAAAAATCAAAATTAAATATTATATATTTCCAAACTACATACTATTATGAAAGTTCTTGTCAAGTGTTAAACAATTTTATCCATTGGTTTTATTATTGGAAATAAATTTAACAAGAGTTATGCAACGTGCTTAGGTCTGAAGCACGTTGTCATTATCAGGTTAATATAGGTTAAAAGTGTTAAGAAGCACAAGATATTATTACAAGAATTTATTATTCATTATTATTAATAACATTATAATATAATAACTAATATAAATAATATTTTTTATTATTATTTTACATGTGTACCTGAACAGATTTCAGTTTCCATTTTTGTGCAATTAAATTTTGTATGAAAAGATGATGATGTTGATAACTCTGCAAAATTTCTGTCAGTATAGTCATTGTATTCTTTTCCTTCAGTTCGAACATCAGTGGAACAACTTAGTTCACTCTCCTCTTCTTGGTTTGTCCTGTCCTCCTTTGCTGGGAGCATTGGAGCTGGAGAATCATTGGCTTGACCTTCTGGAGAGCCCACCACAAGGAGTTCAAAAGTGCCTTCACTCAGTTCTTCCATGGTTCCCCCTTTAGCACACAGCTCCTTACTTGTGCTTAAACTTTCTGTAGTGATTTTAAAGTCTGAAGAGCTGGAAGTTTTATCTTCTGGCTTAATCTCTTCTTGTTTGTGAATCAAGTTAGAAAAAAAACCTTCTCTTGGTGGATCTAAGTGAGCACTACATTTATCTAGAGAAATCTTTCTTGTACTTGCAAGCTTATCATCTGGTGTCTGATCAAACACAAAAACACTAGATGGTGATGCAGTACTATCACACTTATTTTTTGATTGCACTACAGATCTCGGCTTTTCAGGTGGCACTGAAATAGGGCCAATAATTTGTGAATGCTGCAACACAAATCTCTCTGAAGGAACGGAAGTGTTTGATACACTATTACGTATATCTGAAAAAGAACTATACGGACTACCTGAAGGTCTGACAGTATTGTAAACTACTTGCTGGGAAGTAATGCCAGCTTTTTGAAGGTATTTATTAGAAGAGGGATTTACAGAAGGTGATAAAGTTGCTTGGGATAACTTGTCTTTTTGGTTTGAATGACTAGATCTCTGAAAAAAGTTCATTAGTTGTGGGGTTTCAGTTTCACTAACAGATGTTGCCTGTTCAATTTTAATTTCTTTCTGGAATTGAAAGTTACCATTATGTCTTTGTCCTATTGGAAAAGTCTGATTCAACATTCCTTGATTTAATTCTGATACTACAATATCATTGTGCACAACAGGAGTATGCCAATTCTCAGCCTTTCCAGTGACATTTATGTCCACAATTGAACTATGTCCAGGTAAAGTTTTTGTAGGATCATGAGGTTCAAGAAACTCAGTTGCCAAATGTCTTCCTTCAGTTTCATTGCCCTGTTTCAAAGCAATTAATTTTGATTCAAACATTTGTTGAGATAATTTATCATTACAAGTCAAACTTTTTGGACTGCTGTTGATGACCTCTTTATTATCTTCATCTTTACTTTTTGCCTGATACTGGGCTGATCCAGAAAAATCAGTATTTGATTTCTGTGAAACAGACATTTTATGGACAATTTTGCTTCCTTGTGATGTAAGGTTTTGTCTATTCAAAGATAGAGAAGGTCCTGTTGTGTTAGCAATTTTTTCCTCTGGAGTTTCATGTTGAGCTTGTTCCATTTCTGAGCCATGGATGCTAACAACTCTGAAAGATGGTCCCGAAGAACTATAAACAACTGCAACTGTTGGTTGACTTCTAACCACTTCAGGATATGATGATGACTCTGAAGATGTACTACCTATGATGTTGGACTTACAAGGGTTTTCTCTTTGCAATGAAGTTAAAGGTGTTAGCACTGAATCAGTTTGTGTAGGATTAGAAGAGCTTGAAGAAAGGAACCTTATGTGAGTTGGATAAGGAGGAAATGGTCGTTGCATACCAGAGTAGAATGGCATCTGAGCAGGACGTGCTTCCTGAGTAGAAGTAGGTGGCGCTGCTGGAAAATTATTCAATAAATTATCAGGTACAAAAACTAGCATATTAAAAATATATAATTGATTTGTAAATTATTTGTGACAACCTCTACAAACATATTAAACTGACCATTAACTAGGCAGATACATGAATCAGGTTGACCAATTAAAATACATCTGTATTTTATATTTGACTAATAGTAATTGTGGATTGTTATTCCCATCTGTGATAACAGAGAGTTTACTATGTAAGTTACGATAATGCTAATAATGACGTCAATTATTCCCCCTCCCAATATTTATGATATTATCATGAATACAGTATCAAAAATTTTGCAGCAATATGTTTTTTGGTTAAAATAAAGATTTACATTAAAATTTTTCCTATTTTGAGGATAAATAAAGGAAATCTAAAACGAGAATGTAAATATAGGTTTTTATATATTTTACTGAGAGGCCTGACAAAAGTACAACTAAATCAACATGCCTAATAACCTATCAACTATACAATGTTAAAAATATTGAAGTGGTGAAATTAATTTTATAAATAAAGTATAGCATGGCATACTGTAACACAACATCACGAAAACTGACACACAGTTTTTTTAGTAACTTCAGTTTTATAAACTAAAATATGACAAATTTTTAAAAATCTAAGTGAATAGAAACATAAGTAAATGGTGACAGAATTTTCTTAATTAAAAAAAACTAATGTGGTATAATATGACTGAAAAGGAAGTTTAAAAAATCATGTGTATGGATTTTGTATAGTTTCAAAGTCCACTTGGAAAATAATATTCAGGAAGAACTCAGATTAAGAACTAATACTTTCATGTATGCTATGTGGCTGTAAATCACAACTTTGGTTCAGATAATTGGATGATCACCAGCCAATAGGATGATCACAATTTCTCTACTTTCAACCCAATACATTACATCTACTTCATGCATTTTATTCCTTTTTCCAAAATGCCACTTGAGTGAATCAAATTCTCTGCAGCCTATTGTGACAAAAAATCAAGTAAATATCTGAAACGGAGAAATACCTTATCTTGTTAATAAAACTACATGAAACATTTGCATGTAAACATTATGATGAAATATGAAAGACAAAATATTTCAGTTTTTACAAAGAGTACATTGAAGATCACAATAAAAAACAATAAAAATGTAGAAGTGAAAATTTATATATATCTAGATTTCCAAATGACATTAAATGATAATTGAAACTAAAATATTAGGAACTTCTGATATGCAGATATAAAATCCCACCTTGTCTATTATTAATATCTGGGTTCATACCAGGAGGGACAGCTAGTCGTGACTGGCCACTGCTGGTGTTAAATGCAAATCGCAAACCTACTTGACCTGGAAATTGGGAGAGTGAGATGTTGTTTTCTTTTAAAAATTGTATTTGTTGAAGTATCTCCTGTCTTTTTACTTCATCTATAAATTACATAAAAAATGTCATTAGTTTTCTGTAAAAAAACTAAAAAAATTCTTGATTAAAATTTATAACATTTCCAGAAATTTAATGCATACAAAAAATAAAACATCATATTGTTGTAAAACACTCTATTTCAAGGATTTATCCCAAAACAAACAGTGTATGTGTGTATCACACACACACACACACACTCTGCTTACCTCCTGGGCACCTTATATTTAACAGTTGCAAGCTACTATAAGAATAACACTTTCATAAATGTTGTTATAAATAAACAAAATAATTCATGTTTATAATTTCTGTTGAGTTGGTAATTTCCATTTTTTTCCTCATAAAAAGGGTAGTTTCTCAAACAAAAACTATATTTATGTCAACTTTCATCAGTTTCAGAACATCAATCTTTATGACAAATGAGAAGCCTTGAAGCTTTATTTTGTACCAAGATGCCACTTTTTGGACATAATATAGAATGCCTTTGCATGGGCTTAAATAACAGATCATCCAAGTTTATAGATTTATTGTATTTACATATTTTTTATTAAAAACTTACAGGGAATTCTTTAAAAAAGTGTTAAATCATTTATAACTTGGAGTGTACAATAAGCCAAACGAAAGAAAATTACAAAGTTGATAAGAGAATAGGGAACAATTCTGGAGTTTTAACTTTATACTTAAAATTACTAAAAAACTTCAGTAGTGATAGGCTGAAAACAAAGTCTCTATACATAATTAAAAATTTAGTCCATTGAAAACAATGCATCATTATAAAACTAATAAATTAGTGATGCTTTTTTCAGTCTATATCATGAACTATGATAGTGATTCTTTATAAGGATCAAACAGGAATTTGCTCAAACTCTAATAGAACATTTAGGCAAAAACCACCTTAAAAAGCAGGCTTATTTTTGAAACAACATGCAAAACCTTCCTTTCCAATAGTTAAGACCATTCAAACGTTGATAATAAGCAAAATAAGTGATTTCACAATTGTAGATAAAATCAAAATTTGCCCATTTGTTCATATTATTATTACTATTTCACAAGCCTACAGCAAAATTGGATGGGTTTGCACCAAAACCTAGATAGATATACTATATGAAGCACTGCGAAAGTCCATGACCTATTTAAAAGTTGATTAGTTATCACTGAAAGTTGATTTACATGATTATAAATACACAATAGATGCAATATTGTTCTGAGCAGCTGCTTTTATACTCAATGTGTGTTAAGAGGGTGTTTAAACAAAACCTCAGGCACAAAGCCACCTAGTTCAGTAAATAATCACTTTAAAATATACAAAGCTTTATTTAAAGCGATGTTTTAGATGTATTTGTTTTACTTGGTAAGGCTGCTTTTTTACTGGTAAAATGTTATACTCGCTTAGTTGGGGTTGTGTCTTACTCTAGACATATATTTGCCCATTGCTATGCATTAAAAAAGCCAACATACAAGATAATTAAAAATTGAGAATTTAAAATCTATAAATAGGAATCCCACCAAAAGTAAGCAAACAAGGCTAGAGATCTACTGCTGACAGTTTACTCAAGCTACAAATCCCTATTAATAATCCACTATAAAATTTCTGCAAGTGATATCTATTGTACAGTGGGGTGATTTCACAGGAATTTTGCAAAAAAAAACTAAGAGAGTAGTTTTAAACTTAATTAGACTTCCTTAATTTTGTCGTGCTGCGAAATTTTCTAAGTCCTTCACTTTCCGTTGGTGTTGAGGTAGTGGTTGTAAATGTTGTCAATAATTGGCAACTTATGCTAAGTGTATCACTGTTGACCATTTCGCATGCCTTATTCTAGCAAATATCTTGCAGGCTGTTGAAGAACATACATACGTAACAAGGTAAGCACTTTACTGCATCTGTTTACATAGCATTAATCTGTGTTGTATTATCTTAGAAGAAACATTATTCTGATCTGATGATATTGCCTGTGATGTTGATGGAAGCCGGTAATTAAATCTGTGATTATACAATGTCTTCAAGATGGTCCTTTCAGAAGAACTTTACATTTTGGTTGTTGTAGTTGCATACCAGTACATGTGTTTATTATTTGTTGTAGTTGCATACCAGTACATGTGTTTATTCTTTGATGTAGTTGCATACCAGTACATGTGTTTATTCTTTGTTGTAGTTGCATACCAGTACATGTGTTTATTCTTTGATGTAGTTGCATACCAGTACATGTGTTTATTCTTTGTTGTAGTTGCATACCAGTACATGTGTTTATTCTTTGTCATACACTTGTTATTTATTTTGAATAAGTTCAGTGTGGTGGTTAGGTGGGAAAAAAGTCAATGCAGCAGTAAATTGTTGAAAAACATTGTAACATTCAACTGAACACATATGCACACATGTAGCTTAAAATTTATTCTCCATAAATGGACATAAAAGAAACTTAAGAAACAAAATTAGTAAAAACTGTTATTTTAAAAAGACTAAAAACAGTGTCTAGAATATTTTCTCAAGCTACAAATCCCTATTTTGGCTCCACTAAAATTGATAAATACTGTAGACATGGAGTCAAAATAGGGATTTGTAGCTTGAAAAAATAATGCAGACGCTATTTACAGCCTTCTTTGTTTACTCTTTTTACAGTTCCTAGTTGTAGGCTGGAAAATATAATCCTTGCATTTTGATTCAACTGGTTTCTGTACTTCTTTTGCCGATCCCTGTACTATCTTTTTAAATTAACAATTTTTGACTAATCTTGCATCTTATGGAGTATCAAAGCAGTTTCCTAAGTTACCCAGAAATAATCTAAAAGTATTGGTAAAAGGAGTATCGCACTGTTTTAGCTCTAAAGTATTATGCTCTCACTGCTAGGAATATATAATTTCTCTGAAACACACATAATACCACAAGTGTGCAGAATGTCTCGATTTGATAGCTTTCAGTGTTATTTCATAAAAAGCCCATTTATTTTAATTATTAAATGTATCAACATTAACCAAAATGTTTTATTGTGCAAAGACATTATAATTTACTTAGAAAAACTGAAAATGTTTTAATATTAAAAATCCCACTAGTTCAAAATCCCGACTAACAGATTTTTACTTAGGTTACATCTTTAACAATTGTTATTTTATTTTTTAAAGGTTGTATTTCTATTGTTCAAAATAATAATCAAATTGTAGCATTCACCATCACATTCTCTAAAGGACATATTTAGACATAATGGACATTTTAACTCAAAGTATTCTTTGAGCAGCACAATAATACAAATGGAATGTATTAATTAATAAAATCACTTTCTTTGTTATACAACTTATTGTCTGTTACGTCTGAAAGAATCATAAAAGCAAAAATGGGAGAAAGGGTATTTGAGATTACAAACACAACAACCTGTGTTATACTTGTATACAATATGAATGTGTTGATAGTTCAGTGATATTACAAACCTTCTAGAGACCCTTCCTGGCTGAGAAACTGCTGGTTTTGTGAAGGTGGATGCTGTAGCTGTACTGCTTGAGAAAATACTTGCTGTGGTTTCTGGTGGGGTGCCATGTCCTGAGATCCTATGAACTGTGGTTGCTGTTGAGTTGATTGATACACTCCACTTGTAGGAATTTGTTGTCGGTGTTGTGAAGCAAGAATAGATGGTGGCTGGGGTAGTAAAAAACGTGGCTTATGTACTCCTTGAGCTCCTAATGTTAACTGTTGCTGCTGTAACACTGGAGAATATGGAGGTTGCTGGGAGTTTGGAGAACCTACAGCAAAATGCTGCTGAGAACCTGGTGAGAATCTCTGTTGTGTCCCTTGACTACCTGGTGAGAATCTTTGTTGTGTTCCTTGACTACCTGGTGAAAATCTCTGTTGCTGCATATTAGGGGTTTCTGGGGAAAAGCACTGCTGTTGACCACCTTGAGAACCAGGGGAGAAAACATGTTGCCGAGAAACTATTTGGGACATCAAAAAGTTTCTAGAAAGAGTCTGAGGTCCAGGAGATGGATGGAGTTGAGGGGACACAAGTTGTTGTGGCTGTTGAATACTAGGTCGAGAGAAGTGCTGATGTTCAGACTGAAATTCGTGCTGCTGGAAATTTTCACTTATAGGGTTGATGTCATTCTAAAAAGGACAGATTCATAAAACATTGTGCTATACGTACTTAATTATATTTAAATTCTTTCTTTTAACACTAATTTATCAAATGTTTTTCTTTCTGCCAACATTATATTCACTCTGGTAATACAAGATCTCCATATTTAATTTCTGTTGTGCATATTGGTGTATATAAGACATATTAATACTAGAAATAAATGACCTTATAACACCAAAAAGTTGTTTTTATTTAATTACAAAGCTTCATATCCTCCATGTGCAAAATTTTTAAAGGCTTGGCAACCTACGTCAAGTAGCAACTGAGTATAAAGGTCACAACTAGAAGAGATAATTGTTTGCTTTACTTTTTTTATTTACTGTTCTATGTTTTAAGAAAAATAATTTAAGAACTTACTTCACAATAGCAATATATATACATATATAATGTATAATGATTGAAATGTGACTGTATTTTACAAAATACTAATTTACTAAAACACAGCCAAGACAAGTTACTTTGTACAGAGCAAAGGACAGTTTTATGTTATTGGATACGGTAACATCAGTGCACGTGTGCCGCGTCATTGTGACTTCTGTATTGTTAGCCAGGCATGGCTGAAAGGTCAATATAATAAAAATAATAAATATATATAAATGTATAATGTTATGAGATTTAAGCTATTTAGTCTAAACATTTACGTTTTTGTGTTATAATTTGTGTTCATTGTAGAATGAAAGAGGCATTATTTATATTTATTTCCTAATTTTTTATGGTGGTTACGGGATCGGTCAAATCTACCAAACCCGTACAGAAATTCATTACAGAAAATAACAGATAAAATATAAAGTTTTTTCATTAAAAAAGTTTGATAACTATCTGGACGTTATAAAGATTTCACATGTGAAATTTGAAAATTTTTTGACACATAAAAGTATTTTTAATTTTAAAATGAAAATTATTTTGCATGTTAAATAGGCAACATGCGAAAAAAAAAATGCACGAGAAAAACACTACTTTACAAACCTTAAGACTTAATAAAAAATCTGATACTTTATGTATGAAAGCATTGTAATGTTTACTGATAATGTACCAAATTTCGTTAATATGC